CTCTCTCTCGCAGCCCACAGCTGCTGCGATAATGGCCGGTTTACATTACCGGAAACCGGTAGCCGGTAGTCGGAGCTAGTAGTCAAGTATAGTGGGTATTTATGTTAGGCCGCTTAACTCTTTTTTTCATACGAAAAAAAAACTCTGCACTCGAGTAAAATGTACTTGGACTGTTTACACAGTCGCGAACTTGCGATCATTTAGTCGGCCGAATCAGTTGCGATTATACTAAAGGAATATGCTTAAACCGTCATCATTTCGAATTATAATCCCAGTGCGAGCTCGTTCTACTGCATACGGTTATCTCCGGTAGGGTCGATATGACCATACGACTCGTATAGGACAAAGTGGTACGAAAATAAACGCAGATGGAATGGAACGCATGTTATTGAAGAGCGATAACGCAAATATCGAGAATGATAATTCAGTTACGAGTTGTCTTTTTACGAAAACGGTTGTAAATCGGGAGTCTATTTGTCTATTTTCTCGGCGGCATAATTCCGACTATCCATGCAGTATTCATATGGTGTAGAGCAGCCATAAAATGCGGTTCATGTGCCGCGCGATGTTTCTTTCTCTTCTCGTTTTTTTTTCTTTTTGAGGAACGCGCTTCATATTATTGTTGACGATTAAATTTATCGTCTCTAATGTGCAGCACGACAGATCTTTGGCGATTCGCGACAGGTGACGTTCACCATAATTACATCTAGAATTCCTCTAGAGAGAAGTAAGAGTCTGGCCAATATTCTAGTTTGATAGAAAATAGCGTACGAGTATGTAAGATTTTGAGCTACGGGGAATTAAAAAGTGAAACTGGAATTGTTCGAACTAGAATCGATTCCGATCGGAATTATTCCATTTCCCGTATAGGAAATATAATAAAAATCTAGGGAATAGTTGAACAATTCCGATTGGAATTCATTTCAAACAATTCCATAACATATGCCCACTTTTCCCTTTTGATTTTGCGTGGCTCGAATCGAAGAATTAATTGCTATACTTGAGGCGTCCATCTTGTCTTGATAACTGTTTGTCTTGATAACTCGTTATCGATCTTCAAAAGTTACAATTACGATGAGAAGTTGTTTGCTCTTTCTTTAAATATTCTACAAATATTAACACACATCCTGATATAAGTTATTTAAGTCAGGCCGTGAATAATCTCACGTTAAAATATTTATACGTGACGAATAATGTGCAGGAATGCTGAGAGAATTTGAAGACCATTGCACGCGCAAGCTCGATTGTGCGTTCGATTGGTCGAGTGTACGAAAATACATACCTCAACTGTGCAGAGATGTGAACGGCCAAGTATGACGGTAAACACTCGATCTCTGAAATCTTTCGCGCCATTAAGATGCAAATTGAGATGGGTAAGTGCGAGGTACGTTATCAGTGTGGGAAACGATTATTCGTAGCCGCAGGGTAAGGTTTAATTAGGCTTCGGAAGCTTCGGTCTAATTCCTCGCATCGATACAGGAGACGAGCTCGTTCGTTGAGTGAGTGAGTGAATGAATGAGAGAGAGAGAGAGAGAGAGAGAGAGAGAGAGAGAGAGAGAGAGAGAGAGAGAGAAAGATTGTTTTTATATGTCAAATTATACCCGCGTTTTTGAGTTATATTTTCTATTATTTCTATATAGGTCGTCACTGCTTCTATTTGACATGACGTTAACTTAACTGAAACAATGGAGTTAGAATTTAACTAAGAAAATGTGTTAAATTTAACTCAAGTTTAGTTTATTATTTTGCTGACAATGAGTGGATACATTAATATAGACGTTGTTTACTTGAATCACAGAAATGAATTCATTTATATATTTTTATATATAGATACATAGAAGTTAAAAGTGTTATTTAGCTTAACGGATTGGGTTACCATTGCTTCTCTGGTATCTAACATAGTGTATCAAGTGCATATGAAGTTCGCTGCAGACGTATATTCAACCGTTCCTGAAATATCGCGAACATCCTCCACGTCGCGCCGGAACTCACGGTGAGAATCGGCGAGAAGGGACGGAAAGATTCTCACGCGACGGAACCGTGTGCGGGAGATTTCTCATCTTTCACGCGGTTTTATTAGGGTAACGTTCTCCAGTCGGTCTTGCCTATTATCTGTCGCTATATCTATTGTATATAACGATCGAAGTAAAGCGAGACGTAACTTTATAATAAGAGTACGATATATAATTTCCATTAAGACTCCGTCGCGTCTGCAAGAGGAATTTTTAATTCATCGATCCTCTGTGTACTTTGACAGTGAAATCTTTCCGCTAAACTCAATCGTCATACTATAATATCACTTAATTGGAACCAGAACAAGTCATTTCATGTCCATCCACCATCTATGCAATGAAAGTCGATGCGAGAGACTAACGCGGTCGATGATGATACCGTCTGATCTGTGTTGCGAAGAAATTCTGTCTGGACGGGATATGCACGCAATGTTTTGCTTTGTTCCGATTGTCTTGCCATTAGATACGCAGCGGGTATAGACTCGACGTGGGGTTTTTATTACCTAACGCGGCGAGCGGCGACGAGTTCTCCGAGCGCGTCGCGTCGCGTCGCGTCGTTTCTTACGTAATCATCTCACCGAGAGACGACAGGTGTGGACGGATGCGAGGCGATTCTCACACGAGGACTTCTTCACGACCACGTTCTTCGTCCCTTTTGGCGTGCGGTATCCTCGAAGAACTTCCAGAATCGTATTTCCATCGAAATATCTCGCCATCAGTTTCGCAATTTGATGACTAAATCGACAGGGATTCCGATAAGAAGCAATCGGATGAATCGCGCGTATAAATCGAGCGAATCAGCGTTTTTAAATTATTATGTTATGTAATGGATTGCATTGTCACGCAGAAATGATAATTGAGAGCGTTACGTCGAAAGAATCAGAGAGAAAGAGAGAGAGAGAGAGAGAGAGAGAGAGAGAGAGAGAGAGAGACAGAGAGAGACAGAGAGAGATCATATACACATGCGCACATTCATATAGCAAAAATACAAGCGCGAATACACAGAAAAAAAATCCAAGGCTGTGATGACGTACATACGTTATGCATTTATGCATAATAAAAACGGTACATATATCATCATAAATTTTATAAACTCGATCTTGAACTATATTCTCTTTTCCATTTACGATTTTACGGAACGACAACAAGATTTATTATATCACTTTGGTGTATATGTACATTAATACGGTTCGTCCAATTATTCTTTCGGCCATTTCTAAGAAGACATCTTTTCTTTTCAATATATGAAAAAATGCAAAGATTATCCATCGTCTTATGGTGAATATTACGAGGTTACTAAAATTTTAAATCGAATTAAACAACTTGCTTTTTCCTTAATTTTTTACTAGAGCAGAAAAGATTGCGAAAGCAGATCTTTACGGTAGTAGGAAGTAATAATTGTTGCGTTTTAGGATTCTCTCTCTCTCCCATGATGAATCGCAGGTGCTAGTACGCATATCTGTGAGGCTTTAATTGCAAATTGCTCGCGCTTAATTATGAGGCATTGATAGTCTTTCCAGGCGGGCTTTGTTATTCCGCCGTATTCGCTCTTTAGTCGCGCAGGATTACGCGTTGCGAGTGCAATGGAACGAGCGAAATTGTGCTCGCGCGCGAGAATTTTGCAATTAAATACCGTTTAATTGCACGTCGGCGGAGGATTATCAGCGGTGCGATTATCCACTCCGGCCGCGCCGCGCCGCGCCGCGGTCTTCGCTCTCGGCGAGCCTGTCATTATTGTCATTTACATCGTCTCAAGGATCTCCCCAAGTATGTTCCTAATGTCCCACTCATAATTCTTTTTTGTTCACGCATACATATAATATTCGCGCGTTATCGTTTACCAATACCTATCTCAACCTATTCTTGAGTTATCCTTGCGCGAATGGATTTTATTCCCCACTCGTCGCAATATCGACGCTCTCTCCCGGAACTATATGATTAATCAACACATCAAGTTTTATAACGTTATCTGCGATTATCAGCGTTAAAAAAAGAGTTCATTGAGATTCTTATTTTTAACTTTACTTTCTTGTTTTTCTCTTAAGTAAAAGCTTTCTCAAATTTTCTCGAATTTTCTTTAATTAATTCGTCGAAGTGTTTTATGTTCGAAGAAGAGAACGTGCGTTTCCTGTTTAAATATCTACTTCCTTATCCATTTGAATTTCAGAATTGATTATCAGGTAATTCTGAAGTATTGATATATTCGACGTAACCGGAACGTAACGGAATCTCGATGAGTCTGCCGGATATAATATCGACAAGTTAAATAGACTGTTGCAGATCAGTTTACCTCTGTGATCTCCTCGTCTCTTATTTTATATACCAGCACTGGAATTCTATAACTCTTAACATAGTTATGGTATCCATGCTTGTGTAGATATTATACATACATATATTGTAAAAAGGTTGTGAAACAACGATATCGATACTATTGTTGTAGAATCTTAATGCTGATTCGCGTGACAAAAGAACATATAATCTCGCGCTCGAAAAATTTCTTACTGGGAAAACTTTACGCAGCGAATTCCAGCCGGATTCTTTTTCCTCGCGGATACCCGCCATTTCTCGCGTGCTGTACAATGCGATGCGATGCGATGCGATGTGATGCGATGCAAACTAAAGCTAGAGTTGAGGTGAAATATCACGAATTTTACGGAATTTTAATTTTTTTTATCTCGCGCACACACACATGTGCGGGCGTGCACGTGTGTGTGTGTGTGTGCGTGTGTGTGTGTGTGTGTGTGTGTGTGCGTGCGCGCGCGCGCGCGTGTGTGCGTGTGTATATGTGTGCGAGTGTAGATTTAACAAATGCATCATATCAGTACAATATATAATATAAATTTAGGTAATATGAAATGAAATGAAAAATATAAATTTCGAATTTAGTAAATTCCACTAGAGAATTTTCTTTTGTGATCATGAGATGGGAGAAATAAAATTTATATTGATTAAATGAAAATAATGTAGGTGTTACTTGGACTTTTGCAGGCCTAGCCCGGGCGGAGTCGGCGATAACGGCGTTCAAGGTGTTCGCGGCAAGGGTCTGCCGCACGTGATTTACTGCCGACTCTGGCGTTGGCCGGACCTACAGTCGCACCACGAGCTTAGGGCGATCGAGCACTGCGAGTACGCCTTCACCCAGAAGCGCGACGAGGTCTGCGTGAATCCTTACCATTATCAACGAATACAAACGCCAGGTACGCGAGGGCAAACAGGTGCATAGACACATATATTCGTT